AAACTACTTCCCACCAGTTAGCAAAAGGCAGGACAAGCCTCTCCCAGTGACCTTGGGACTGGATATTCCACAGTGCAGCAACAGTATCCCCCCAGCTGCCCTTGGCTCCTCATCCATCACAGCCTGGAGAGGTGGCTGCACACGTCACTTTACCCACATCCCCTGATGAGCAGCTCCCTGGTTTACCTGGTACCCCAAAACCAGGGAGGAGCAACAGGAAAACCACCCCCACTTTTATTTCTTCAAATTCAAGATAAGAGCAAATAGTCATCAGAAACATAACCAAAAGTTTGCAATAGAAAGCAAACCTCAGTTCTAGGTTTTAGTATCTTCTCTCAGTTGTTCTCATGCACTTCATCACTGGTCAATTCCTTTGAGACATACAATCATCCTACTTAAAATGCGACTTAACTGAAAAACAAACTGTGATTTTAAAGTCAGCAATTAAAAAAAAAAAAAAAAAAGCGTAAAGGAAAACCAGTCCACTCTGCCCCAGCCAAGCTGAGAATGTCCCTTGAAATCTCTGTGATGTGCTGGAAAAAAAACTTAAGTGACAAAACAGATCTTCCACTGCAGATTTTGAAGTCTTTTTGCACTTGATTCCACTGCAGAGAATTTGTACAGCTTTGTCAACCTCAGAAAGAGGTGCCTTTTTCGTATGTACCCTTTCAAGCGAGGCAAGGCAAGGAGAGCACTTCACTGCTTATGTTCACTTCGAGACAGACAGCTCGAAGACTGAGGATTATCAAAACCCCGTTACTCGTGCCTTCAAATATTCTGAAATCCCACAAGCTTGACAGCATTTTCAATTTTGTATTGACAGCAGCAGTCAGACAAAAATAATTTGAGGAGTAAATCAAGGAGAACCCCCACCTCTTTAATCCACAGTCACACAAATCCATACTGCCTGCAGAATGGCAAGTGCTTTGGAGCCTCTTTTAATAGCAATATGTTAACATCCTTGTTTGTCTTTCCTGAAGCTTGCAAGGCACCCCTTCCTCCCCCCCCCCAGTCTGGTCTTTTTGACATAATTTGTATCAGAGCTGCTCATAACTCACTCCTATCGACAGCCTGTGACACGGATGAAATCTCGGCAGAGCGCTGGCTGTGACAGCACTCACTGAACTGTTATCAATATCAAGGTCACTTTGTTTTTCTTGCTCTTGCTGGAGCTCATCTGCCCTGAGGGCACAGGCTGCCCAAGAAAGCTTTCTGTCTAAGCTGCTCACAAGTCACAGCCTCTCTGCTCCATTACTGGCGTTACATAAGATTAGAGTGAAGTTTCTACTATTAGAAGCAGTTAGCTGCGTGGTGATTTTGTGCTCTCCTGATATAGCATATAGCACAGTTATGGCTGCTGGCAGCAGAACTTAGAACTACAGCTATTTTTAGTTCAGGGAGAAGCATGAGTGTAGTCAAGATGTGTCACAAAAACCAGTATTTTTTCAGGGGGAAGTGGGGGTGGTGTGGGGTGTAATTCCTACCTGTGGTACCCTGGACAAGAGGGCCCCAAAAGGGAATTATCGTCATCCTGGGCTTGACAGATACTCACCAACGAGTCGGAAATCATGGTAGGAGCCTGTGGAGGGCAGCGCTGTCTTGCTGGGGATGGTGCATTGAATAGCTCAGAAATACCAGCTGCTAAGGTAATACTTTTTTTCTATCTCCTTTGAATCTGAAAGCTGCAGATGTAAAAGCTGTCGCCCTGCTACAGCCATGGCCTGTCACTGCACGCAGGACTTCCCAGTTTTCCACCCACTGCCCCCATTTTTCAAGCATGCTTTCCTGCAGCTTTAGCCCTGAGCCCTGTGGCTAAGCTTTGTGGCTCTTAAATGGGGCAGTTTGAGGGTTGGGGAGGTAGGGGGGGAGTCGGGGGCTGGAGGCAGCACAGAGGTTCTCTTCCATTAGAAAGATAGGGTCTTGGGAAAATATGTGCAGATCCATTACATTGCAAAGGAAAGGAAAGGAAAGGCTCTCCGGGAGCACTCCCATGAGCTGCAATAACATCTTCTCCCCCCACCTGGGACCTGCCTCACCATCACCGGCTCTCCCGGCTACCTGAACCCCCGGCTGAGGCTGGTCACCCTCACCTGCCCTGCCCTCTGACTGCTTCCATTCCTGGAACAGCCTCTCATGTTCCTGCCATCCCTAGATGCATGCAGCTCCCGTGGGGCAGCAGCAGGCTGCCTCTGCCCTGCAGCAGCTCCTCCAGCTCCACGGGCAGCCCTGCGTAGGGATTGTAGAGCTCACGGTGGAAGGATTCTTTAGCTCTCCAGCCCAGCTCAGGCTCCTTGCAAGCAGAAGTTGGTACCTTGCAGCTCAGTTTGGAGGAGTCAGAGGGCCCCATCGTAAATGTACAAGGCCGGATGTGAAGAGAGGTGTCAGGAGGGAGACCAAGCAGTGAAGAGGTGTGAGGACTCAGATTTTCTCTCACCCAGTAAAACACGGCTGCCAGCATAGGGCAAGGGGCATCTGCGAGCTGAGCTGAGGGGGTAGCCACAGAGGAGGCGTGCAGGGCTGCTCCCGCTCCTCCTCGACATTGCGGTTAAAGAGAGGGCTGTGTTTTGCAGAGCCCTCGATCTGGCATCTTTCCCGGGTAGTAAATTCTCTTAAAACCCGAACCAAACAGAGCTTTAATTGTACATTCTGCTTTTCTCTTCACTCTAGAATAATGGCAATGGCATTAATACAGTGCTGCATTGAACATGCACCCGCACTGAGGCCGAGGGACTGATTCTGCTTTCCATTATTCAGGGGCTCTGCCTCTGGTGAGGCAGATCAGGGTTTAAACAGCAAGCAGGAGCAATGAACTTCTACTGTTCCCTGCTGTTTGAGTGTGGGCAAAATAAAAGGCCATAATATATGATGCAGTCAGCCAAGAAAGCAATATTGCTCTGCCATGTTCACAGTCTACACTGAGACAAGTCCAGGATCTCATTTCTGAATTCCCATAGGTGCCTCATTTAAACCATCAGCCATAACCTGCTTCTCATTTTCAATACCACTTGGTATTAGAGCTGCAGTGAACTGCTGGTGAGAGATTCTAATTCCTGCAAACAAGCCCCTGTAGGCTTGCAAGGAAAACAGAGAGTTCCCCTCTCAGTTGCCTGCTAGGTTCCCATCTGGCTGTTTTAACTTTGCTATTGCTTTTAAATGTGCCTGTTTCTGCACATGAGGCTTTCAGCTCTACCTCAGGAGACTCCTGGGTTCTCTTAGCATTGAATTCTGACCAAAATGTAGAGACATGGATTGGGTCTTCTTAATAAAAAGAAAGATCAGATTTCACATTACAGTATCTGAAAGATTAATTCCACTTACATATCATTTCCCTGTGAACCACACTTCTTTCCATCTGGATTTTTCCATCAGGAGGACAAAGAGGCATAGTGTTAAGCACTACCTGGGAGAAAAGAGCAAGGAGTGTAGAAGATAAATGCAGAGATGCTTGCTGAGAGAAAAGAGAAGAAAAACAGAGTAGATAGCAATTTCAAATGCATCGAGAGGCGGCTGCTACTTTTTTCTTTCTTTATTTTTCCACATTAATTATATTTTGATCTCATGCTTTGCTGTTTTGAACCATTTAGTTTGTCAGGTTTTGATTCGGGAAATTTAGGGTGTCTGACTGCAGGAGCTTTCTGTATCATGTTATTGTTAGCTGCTGTCTGTGTTATTGTAGTAACCACAGGTCCAGCCAAAATTAGCACCCTGCTGTGCCCAAGGCTATCAATAATCTCATGTAAGACCTTGTTATTGAAAGATGCCTGTCCCTATCCAAGCTATCATTAGAATCACAAGGAGAGCTGTGCCAGCTAGGAAAAGGGATAGAGGAAAGATGACTTGGGGCCTAACTAATGCCCTGCCACTGTCTCCTCTTCAGACAGTCATTAACCTCTCTATAGCCCAGTTCAGTCTTCAGCTGACAAGGTAACAAGCACAGCAAAATGGTGAGAGGCTTTGCACCTGATACAGAAGTTAAACTTAGGTGGCTGCTCAGTTAGTTTGTGTTCATTTTCAGTTAAACAAAACCTGTTTTTCTCAACCAGGAACAAGCCACTTTATCTTGTTTTAATATTTTAATAGATTTTACACAATGCTGAAGTAAAATTCCAAAACAGAAGTAACTTTGACTAGAAAACCAGAAATGGTCATTTTTATTGAACTATTTTCAAACCTACAATACTGGAGTGTTTGCTTTTTTCACAGAACTTTGCTGAGTTTTTTTCACTGGAATCTGCAAATGCAACACAAATCTGTTAAATGCTTTAGCCAGTTGAAGTCAGTTGGGATTGTGTGGTTGCTTCTTTTCTTCGCCAGAAAAATATTCAGTAGAAAACAGCAATTGTTTCCAGTGTAGGAAAAAAAAGCCTTGCAGACTGTAGCATTCAAGTGGTGGGTAATAATCAGAAGATACAAAGCTTAACTAGGATATTGTAGGTGAGGTCCCAGAATGGCACAGCTGCATGCAAACAAGGGTGCGGACTCACCCACAGCCCTACATGCTCCTGCTGCTCAGCAATGCCAGCACCACAGTTGCCTGTGCCTCCAGCCTGGCTCTCATGCCCACCAGGGAAATTCAAGCCCCTGTGACTCAGGCTCCACACCTCAGACAGGAGGCTGAGCAGGCCCTGCCCATTTGGGGTGCAGTTTGGAAACTGATGTGTAATGACAGAGCTGTTTTAGAGCTTGTGCTACCTTGTATTCTCCCAGGGAAGCAAAGAGATTAATACATCTGGATTGCCCTTAAAATCCCTATCCAGTCTCAAATGCCTACTATAGGTAGAAGGCTTTATTTTATTGTTTTGTTTCCTGTTGTTTTGTTTTTAACCAGAAAAAAAAGAAAAAAAAAGGAAAGATGGAAAGAAACAATCTAATGAGATGGTCTTTAGGTACTTCCAGGCTACAGTTTAAAATAAAAGTAATCCTATTCAACTTGCATGGCTTAGTTCTCTGCAGAAACATTATTGACCTTGTAATATAGAATAATTCCCCCCACTCCCCACCCCCCCACCCAGTTACAGAGGCTCCTGCCCTCCTGCAGTCACTGGCTCTTTCCAACTAGAGCAGCTTCTGGGAGCCACCCGGAGGGAGAAGCTTAGAGAAATGTAATCAGTGGCAGCACTTCTGCTAGCTTTGCAGTATCTTACAGTGGAAGGCAGGGGGGACGACACTTCTAGCAAAGTCCCTGGCCTTCAATTAAAAAATTCATATTACTTTCCTCATTAGTTCAATCATCTGGTATAGCTATTTCCAAGCTTACCCCAAAGGCCCGGCAGAGCAATTCAATTTCAAAGCCAGTGCAACGCAGGACTGAGCGGTGTGCTTGGGAGGAGCTATGCTTCTTGGTGTTGACATGAGGAGCTCACTTGTCTGGCATTAGTCATGTGAAGCGAATGATGTTGACACACTTTTTGGAAAGAGGACTGCTGAATGAAAGGGAGCTCTGTTGCAAAACACCTCCCTGGCTACAAAGGCTGGAGTTGCCTGCTAAGTTTCACCGGCACCAGAACGACTCAATTCTTGGAGAACCTCCTCAAAGTCGGGTCTCGAACAAAAGGCTTCGCAATGTAATTCTCTCTGCCAAACATCCCTTTCCCTCTCTCTGCTAATCATCTCCATTACTGTAACTAGCTGACAGGCTGCAACAGAAGTTTAAAGAAGCGGGGGCTAGGAGAACTGCAAGTTTAATATCCGTCTGCTTACCTGCACAACCTCAGCCTTTAAACATCTGCAGCAATTGAGAGTCAACCACACTGCTTGAAAATGAGCCTGTGATCTTATGAATCTCCTGATGTAGAAGCTGTATTTATTATCTTTTTCTTGGTTTCCTTTTTCTGCTTCAGCTTAATGTTCTGTGTCGGTGAAAGTACAAACAGGTCATCATGACAATGCTGGCAGTAGCTCTTGAGCACAGTGCATGACTTCTGCTGCAAGGCAGTAAAACTTGTAGGGCAAGGCACAGTACCTTTTCCTGTGCTGCTCTTCATGCTAATCTGTGCTGGGATTGCACAACATACTCTTTTACCAAAGCTTTTGGTGTTATGTGCCCTGAAAAATTTGTAGGCTTTTACCTATATAGTGCTCTATACTTCCCTGCTGTTCTTTTCCTTCATCATTAAAAGTAAAACCAGTCAGGTTTTTTCCATCTCTCCCATCATTTTTATTGTGCTTTTCATATTTTCCTTATTAAGTAGTTACCCTAGGGAGACTTCCTTTTTACTGGAACATACAAAAAGCTGTAAGTGCTCTTAACATTCCTGGGGAGGAGGAGGGAAAAGGGGGCAGAGGAAGCAAATTTAGGCTGAGGTCACAGAAATATATATGGTGTGTTCAGTAATATGCCTTGCATCATCTCTACTTCTTTTTCCATAAGCAACAAGACATTTTCCCTTGCTCTCTGCCTATTCCCCAAATCAACGTATGCTGTTCAAAATCAGGTACCTGGATGTTTGGAGCAACATCCATCTGGCAGCTGCTGCTGCTGGGCAGGGGTCAGACTAGATGACTTCTGAAGGTCCCATCTGCACTTGTTTTCTAGAATTGCTGGGAAAATAAAGCCAAACTCTAGATGTAGGCATTCAGGCGCTACAGTGAAAGTTGATGCCATGTCAGAATAAACTGGCCACCTTGCTTTGGGAAGAGTTCTATTATAGCCTTAATACCAACAAGCAACCAAACAAAGTTTATCAGTATTCTCTGGGGGTGAGAACAGCAACTCAGGATAATGAGAAATGCTCGTAAAGTCTCAGGGAAGGGACCACTTAGATATCATTGAACTCTTGCTCTTGACTGAAGCTCTGCTTTAAGCTGGACTGACTAGTCCAAGCTTCCTGGATCTAAACCAACATACAACATTGCAAAAGGGATACTCATCTTCTACTGCATGATCTGTATGGGAACAAAGCTGTATGGGGTCCTAGATCGGATTCTCAACAGGGCAACAAAGCCAGAACTTTCAGCTCTATAATTTCCCAGAATTGAGAGCGTTTTTTCTCACATCCCAGGTAAAGACCATAACCCTCATATGAGAGAAACAGCCTCTCTCTGGAGGCAAACAGCTATCACATTATTTATACAAAGTAGAACAGCTCCCAGAGGAGAGACTGAGACAGACAGATGCAAGCATACCAGTATAGCTGAGTGTTCAGGGGTATTCACCTGAGAGACAGAAAAAACTAGTTCAAGTTTTGTCCATTTATATATGTGCAGACACATATATAGATATGCATATATACGTGAAAATCCATTTATATGCACACATGTATGCATATATACGTGTTAAATACACCCCATAAATGAAAGAAAACTGTATGCACATACATTTGATATATGTATATATATATACACTGTATGAATATATGTCTTACATACACATCATAAGATTTTCACCTTGGCTCTAGGAGCTTTGTAAGTATAAGTCAGTCCATTGGTTCATTCTTTCAAAAACTTCCAGTTTTAACTAATCAGAATCAAGCGTGCACAAATGCTTCGGTAACTCCCCAACATGAAGTATTAGAGCTTTCCTGCACACACTCATCAGCGCTATAGTAACAGAAATAATACCTGCACCTACGAGATACAGCCAGTGCTGCATTTTGGTGGCACAGGATGTTCTTTTTCAACAGCATTACTTGTCAAGAAATTAAATCATATCGTCTGCTGCTGCTGCTGCTGCTTTCTCAGGGGATGAATTGCATGCCTGTAGTCCCACCACAGAGTCAGGCCTGCTCTCTGGATGCTTTTAGCAACACCTGCAGGCCCTGCTACACACACTAGTTAGAATAATGTAATGCTATTTGGAGGGTAATGGGCAGGACTGCTTTCTAGGGAATATTATTTCTGTATGGAAATCTCCTCTTAATTCATTTCAGAAAAGCTGTCTCTGATATAGCCCAAGTGCGTGCAAGAGAGCAGCCAGATGCTTCACACCAGAGACTCTTCATCTCCCACGAGCAGTGCAGGGAGCACTTCCTATGAAACACCAGCGCTATCAGACCTCCAGCGGCTCTTTTGGTTTAGAGGAGGGTCTGATAATCACGTGGACCAAGTCTGGCCGAATGTTTACCTAGGAGATGCGTAAGAACCTATGGTCCTATTGTTGAACTATTATTGGTCCCTGGGAGAGGGAGGAAGGGGTGTGGTACATTGGGGAGCAGCTTTTGGGTCTGCAGGAATGCTTTTGCTATGGAGGCTTCCAAAACTGGTAACAGAAGGAGTTTGGATGTCATGAAAAACATGACATACAAAATGGTGTCATACTCACTGTGTGTCTGAATGGGGTTTTCCATATTCTGTGTACTGCAGGGGATTTGGCAGGGTAAGAATTGTTTGTATTCTAGACAAAAGTCTTAAAGAACCCATCTCACATTGGTGTAAAGTCTGAAATGCACTATCTATCTACCCTGGAAACTGTGCTCTAAGACAGCAGATGAGGACAGTAGCCCTTACGTTTAAATAGGAGTAGCAGGATCAGCAGCCAGATGGAGGAGAACTTAAAGGAATTATATAATAGGGATTTTTCCAGTTAAAACCCAAACTTTCTTTCAAGGATGGTAAAACTGAAAATACCAAACAGGAATTCTCATGCAAATACCTCATTCTTGCGACAACTGCCATTTATTGCCATTTGTTTCTATTTGGATTGCTGCAGATTACATAGCTCATCAGCTCATTTTTTCCCAGTTCCTCCTCCTCATGAATTCGTTAGTTAAGAATCACAGTTTTATGAAATAACTTTAGTCTCATTTCATGTTGGGCAGAGGAGAGAACCTGGCTGGTAAACATGATGTGATGCAGCCACTTCATTTCTGAACCAGGAATGAGGTGCTGCTGCATCTGTTCTCACCCTTGTGACCCATGCACACTATGAAAGAGAGATTAGAACTTGCTAAACAACTGTTTGCAGGAAAATCTCAACCACTTTATACATTAAGCCATGTTCCCAGGAATTACATGCTGGGAGGCATTTTCTTAACAGTATCCCACTGGCAAGTCCGTGCTCTTGCTTCTCTCCACACCACCATAGCATGTTTTTCAAGTGTGAAGCACTATGGGCTTCTCAAAATCTGCTACTCCGTGAACAAGATGCAGTTCCTGTATCCTTCCCTAGTGGGAGCAGGCACTAACTTTAAACCATGCTATGTTAGCAGGATGTTAGGAGTGGTGCCAATGAGCTCTTCGCGTCTTTAAACAGGTGGGCTGCTAGGAGCAAAACTACTCTTCAAAGCCTCAACATTACTCATATCCTTAATGCAGCAGATGGGCCATATAACATCAACACAGGAGCCAAATATTACGAAGATCTGCAAATAGAGTACTATGGAATAGAAGCATTTGATGATCCTTCCTTTAATTTAAGTATCTTCTTCTACGATGCTGCCAATTTCATCAGCAAAGCCTTAAACACCACAGGAGGTAAGAGGGAGGCAAAGAAGCTTTGGGAGGAAGTTTCAACACGAGCCAAATGGCATCTCAGTGCAGTAACAGGCAGTCAGCAAAGCTCATATTCAGCCCACAGTTCAAGACTACACGAGCAGAACCGCTGCATGCAGGGTGGGAGAAGGGCACCTGTGCCACGCACTGCAGAGAAGGTGGCCATAGCCAGGCCCTGGAGAGCTGGGGAAGGCTGGCTGCCTCAAGCCCAGCACGATGGGAGGAAGTGAGAGGCAAAGGCAGAGGTTATGGCACTGTGGGTGCTCCCACTCCTGCCCTATTCCTGCAGGAACTGTCAGGACCCGTGTGCCTTCACATGCACCTCGCACCCTGGCAGGGTCTTCATCCTGGCCCCACATAATGCAGCCCTGCTCTTGCTCCTGATGCACTCAGATGGGAGCAGCGGCACTTCAGCGTTGGTTTAAATGCTTCACATGCTTAAGTGCTTCACAGAATTGGAGCTTTATTCGGGCTGTCTATTAAGCTAGAGAAGCAGCAGCAGTTAATGAACTAAGTCAAAAACTACGAGCCTGACCCACAGCCTGCTGAATTTTTGTCAGCAGAGTTTGGATTATGGCTTAGTTATCATAATTTCCATTTGTTCCAGAGTTTGCTCCGACTCTGACTGGCTGCGAGATCTGCTGCTTTCACTAGAGTGCTTTATTAAATCCCCAGTTATAGCTCACACTGGGCTGCTGAGATACTGTAAATTATGAGCCCGGTTTTACAGGCAGACTATCCTACAGAGTTTATGGGACTTGTCAGTGATCACGGCCAGGGCTGGGCCAAAATTTTCTGCCAGAACTGTTGTAGATTTTTTTTTCCCACAGAGAACGGCACTAACAAGTTTAGTCACAGAAAGCTTCTCCCTTCCACAGAAAATTCCAGCTATTTTAATCTGAGGCCTAAATTAGATGCATGAGGTCAGTACGAATTGCCTAAAATGTATGGCATGATTTTATGCTAATCCTCCCTGAGTATCCGCTAATTGTCACTGCTGTTTTCCGGTGTTTCTAGTGTTTTTTTTGTCCTCGCTTTAGAAATGCTAAAGACCACTCACCTGCTCTGCCTCTTTTGTTTTGGCAGGTAAGGTGTTTGTTCATTGTGCCATGGGGGTGAGCCGCTCAGCATCTTTAGTGCTTGCGTTCTTAATGATCCATGAAAACATGACAATCGTGGATGCTCTGAAAACAGTGAGTGCTCACAGAGACATCTGCCCAAATTCAGGGTTCCTCAGCCAGCTCCGGGACTTGGACATTAAACTGAACGAAGAGAGGAACGGAACCAGAGCATCTGCTACCAAAGAGCTGTAAGAGAGCATTGCTGAGACGACAAATGTTACTGGAGTTTCCTGTATTTCTTTTTAATGAATTGCATCTGTAAATTGAGGATGAAAGTTTATGATACACCAGAATGCATGTTATTATTGAAAGTAGATTTTACTTGATCTGTCCATTTTGCAAAGCCTTCCAAGACTATACTTACGGTTGGTTGTGCACTGCATCCTTCACTCTCCACCTTAAAACATTGCTCTCTGCTGGTAAAAAAAAAAAAAAAAAAAAAAAGAGAAAGAAAAAGATATCAGGTTCCACTTCAGAAATAGCTGTGTTTCAGCAACTAGTAAAGCTCATATCATTTTATGAAGTGTTAGGCTATTTGAGGTGAAAGATGCCATATTATTTATGCTATGATAATGCTTAGAAGTTTTCTTCTGAATAAGCCCTCCAACCCTTCGCTCCCCATATCTAAGATGGTTGGTATTTTGAGACTTGAGTCTGGTACTGCTTAGTTCTTGCTTTTACAATTGGTGGAGCCCCCGATTTAGTGGTAAGAGGCTGTTTAAAGGCAGAGCAGCTGGGAAACAACATAAGCCACTCTAAGAAATTATTCTAGGTCTCCCTATAGTCTTTTTCCTTTGACTGTTCATCAGTTTGGATTTGGATTTTTTTTGGGTTTTTTGTTCTTTTCTTCTTCCATGAAAATGCCTTTTTTTGAGAAACCATTCAAATATTGTTCATCTTTCCTGGTAAAAATCATCCAGGAGATGGAGGTTATGTGGAAAATGCATCCAAAGACAAAGAAGGTGGGTTCCCGGCTGAGGCTCCAAATAGCTGCATGGGCAGTGGGAGGGGGTGCAGAAAAGCATTTGACAACAAGTTTGAATCTAGCCCAGATTTGTCTGACAGTCCAACATTATAAAACTTGGGATTTTCTTTCCCCAGAATAAAGGTCATTAACATTGCAACATCGTGTTCTGCGGCATTTGCTTTTGGGAGGGGACTCGAGTGAAAACTGAAGGGACACAGAAATGGCAAGGGAGGTGCTGACAGGCATCAGGCTTTCATCTTTGTGTCTCTGGGCCACCATAAAAGCACTCAATAGCTACTGTCATCTGATGGATCAGTGCTGCCTGGAAACTATGTGAAGCACATCTGGCTCTTGGTTCCCAGTGGACAAACACTCCAGCACAAAGCCAACTGAGGGATTGCAGTTGTTTGCATTCCTAGTACCAAATTCAGGAATGCAGAGGCATGAATACTCCCCACCGTGTGAGCTGGCTAGTCAAGAAGAGCACAGCAACAAGGGAAAACATTCCTTGTCATTCCTAGTGCTATGTACAAGGCAAATTTTTACCTTCAGGACAGATGACTTTTATAATGCTTTTTGGCAATATCTACATCTGCCATAGGGACCAGGCTATAGGAGCGGGAGCACAAGGCAGAGCAGGTGGCACTGAAGACCTAACCCTCACCCCAAGGGTGCATCTCAGAAGGTTTTGCTTTGGACTAACCCTATGGACTGGACATCCCTGAGCAGCAGGAGAGCAGTGCTGGAGCATTTCTTTGCTTTAGTTCCATGCATAAGGAAACCTGCTCATGAGCTCCAAGGGTGGCTCTGCAAGGCCAACAAAACCACAGCAAATAGGAATGGTCAGCTTAATGGTATGCTCGAGACCCAAATCAAAACTTAACATATGTGTCTCAGTTACCAATTAATTCTAGGAAACTGATGTCAACTTACAGAACAAGCTGGGGGAAAAAAACAACGAAACAAAAACCGATGGATGGGGCTATGGATCTGAACCAGCCTTGAGCACAGGAACCCTATCCCATTCCCTTGTGCTTCTCACTGTAGGAAAGCTCCCGTTGCCTTTAAGCAGCAGCAGAACTGAGGCCCACCAGGCATTTTCAGCTGTAGGGTGAAGGGCATCGCTGAAGATGCACTCGCTGTGGGTACGAGAGTACGTGCAAATTAAACACATTTCACGCGATAAAAACGCGGTTTTAAAACACGGGTTGTTGGAAAATCTGCATCTTACTCCGACGGTAAATCACTGTGAACACTGCAGAATAACACACAGAGCGTAATGCCTCACGCTGCGAGGTGACACACGCTATTCTCCCCTGAAGCCCCGGAGCGGCCCTGCGGCCTCCCCACAGCCCGCGGCACCGCATGTTGCCGCCAGGTGGCGCCGTTGGCACGGCACGGGCGGCGCCCAGGCCGCAGCACCAGCCGTGCGGTGCGGTGCGGTGCTGCCCAGCGCCACCGGGCCTCAGCTCCGCATCGCCCCGTTTGTTCCGAATGCGGATAAACCCGAGGGAAACGGAACAGTCGTTGCGGGGGGTGCTTCCGCCCTGGCACCCTGCAGGCGCCCTGTGCCGGCCGGGGGCATCGAGCCCAGCCCCCCCGCGGCCCCACCGGCATGTGTCAAGGGTAAAACTGCCCCCCCCCCCCCCGCCCTGGTGCCAGGGGTAACCCCAACCCCGCAGTGATGCATACGGCGTGGTAAGACTTCTCCTGAGAAAACGGGCTGAGAGAGCTGGTTTTGTTCAGTCTGGAGAAGGATCCAGGGAGACCTTATAGCAGCCTTCCCATACCTACAGGAAGCCTACGAGAAATCTGGAGAGGGACTTTTGACAAGGGTAGGTAGGGATAGGACAAGGGGGAATGGCTTCAAACTGAAAGAGGGGAGAGTTAGATTAGATATTAGGAAAAAATTCTTCCCTGCGAAGGTGGTGAGGCACGGGAACGGGGTGCCCAGGGAAGCTGGGGCTGCCCCATCCCTGGCAGTGTTCAAGGCCAGGTTGGATGGGGTGTCTGGGGCAAAACCCAGCTATCCCACTGCCATTCACATCTCTAGTGCAAATCCTAGTACTGCCACCAGCACTGTCATGCCTAGCGTAAAGCAGCAGAGCCCCAGGAGGCCAGGTCAAATCTGCTTACACCACCTGATGGTCAAACTCAGCCTCCTGCTGCTGCTGCCCTCCAGTTGCCTCGCTCTGGCTGCTGCTTGCGGGTTCAGAGAGGGTAGTGGATTACAGTTTATAATTAACACAATTAAAAATAGACTGTGAATAAGCTGAGCACAGAGAAGCTAGAAATCTGGTGTGCAACTGCCACATTAGGAGGAAGCCAAGTGGTATTACTCAAACAAAGGTTATCCAAGACACCGCAGCGCAGGAACTTCAACTACCAGGCAAGTACTTTTAAGTTTGTTTACAAACCAACCCTCAGTGAGCTCAATACATGCACTGAGCAGCATGAACTTTACCACAGCCAGCTCTGCAAGCAGCGAGACAACTGCAGGGCTAGGCCAGATTATCGTCTCTGCCGTTGTACTCAGAAACTCCACATTTGTGAAATTCCAGTTTGCTTTCCAGCTGGATTCCCAGGCTGAGGCTCTCCCACTGAAAAACATCTTAAATTCAAGGGTGAGTTTCTTTAAATACCACTCCTGCTATATTTAAGTTTCTTACAGATCATAGCCATGAAACACTGTACCTGGATTTCCCTCTCAGCTGATGGTCACAAGAGTCATTCCTGGGAAGGGAGAAACTGGCCATCCAGTTACACTGGAGCAAATGTGAAACAGGCTATGAATAAAATGCTGTGCAGCTCAAATACAGAACCTGGGAGAAACAGAAACATCAAGAAGTTTGAGAAGGAGGTGGGAGGGGAATTTTTTTTCTCCTTTTTTTTTTTTTAAATACTAACTCTTTATAGTTGGATTTCTATGGATTATTTATTACTAGGATAGACTTTTCAGACAGAAATGGGATTTTTAATATCAGAGCCTTCCTCATAACATTTTTACTGAGGAAATAATGTTTGTGTGGCTGTGGAAGCCATCAGGATGCTTGAGGTAAAAGAGTACAGAAAGAGAAGACTGGGTTAAATTAATTCCTGCTAAATACCTACTAGCACACTTGCTGTCTATATGGGGAGCTGGAGACAGAATTGTACTAGGGTAAAAAGGATACTGTGTCTATTTATAGCCCTGCCTTCAACAGTGTAGGAATTCAAAGGAAAACTCCAACTCAGCACAGTCTTCTTATCATCTTCTTCTGTCAAGATTAAATCAGAGCTGAGATCATTCCCTTCCCATGCAAATCTGTGTTAGGAAGGATCTGTTCCTTTCTGCAAACTAAGGAACTACAATGGTACAAACCACTCCAGAGCTCATATGGTCTGGGAGTCCTCACCCACCTCTTTCCTCTTGTTAGTCAGAGGAGGGGGAGAAAAACAGCCTCACTGCCTTAGCAGGGAAGACCTAAGGCATTTCACCTGCTATGCATCCCTGCCCCTCTTACCATTGCCAGCCCTTCCCTTACACCAGCTGCTCAGGGGCACTTGTAAATAAAAGAGTATCATCATACCAGCATCCCACCAGTGAGGGGAAGAGGAACAGGGTCCCTGCACACGATCATGGTCACTCATGGTGTTGCCTACTGAGATGAGGCCCTTACCCTACAGGGGTATGTGCCCTCTTGCCACTGCAGGGCCATCCATCTCTGGGAAGGAGTGGGCTCCAGTAGGTGTGTGTGGCACCTATTTATCAGTAGAAATTATCTCTGATGTTAAGCGTACAAATGAGAGCAGCCTTGGAAAACGTACTAGCAAAAACCTGACCACCTCTCTAAAAATAAGGCAGGCTCCTGGAGTTCCTTATCTCCACTCTCAGCATCATGGTGTCCTAGATCTTTCCTTCTCATCTTCCACCTTTCCATTTCTCTTTAATAAGAGCTGCTCTTACATTCTTCACAAAGCACTATCTACTCTGCTCTCTTGGTATTCCTCTTTTGTAATTCTGTTATCAAGCTGTCTGCTAGGTGGGGAGCAGAAGGTGCAGGACTTGGTACTGCCTTCGAGGGACAGGTAATTATTATGTGCATCTGTTATTGTGGTTGCTGCCTCAACAGGTGGAAAACATGCTGTTCTCTGATGGATTTGCAGCACTCTTTGCTCCTGCCTTGTCTTTTCTCTGAAGCCAGGCGTGTGGTGTTCCTAAAATAATAAACACAGCCTCACTGCTGCCACAAAAATCCCTGGTAAATATATTTTTATGGGAATGAAATATTAAAGGATTTGAACAGTTATTCACTGAAAGCAAAATATGAGCAGTAAGGTTGGGTAAAGATTCAAAGGCTGGTTTGCTTCCTTTCCCTGGGGCACACCAAGGCTGTACTGTTTGCACTTTAGAGATGGATAGAGGGGAATTATTTAACCCAAAATGATGGAAACAATTCAAACTATAATAATATAGCATGAGAGTTTCTCACATTACATCTATTCCCCATACTGCTGGCTATATTCTGCCTTCAGATTCACGTGCACGACTCTCACTGGATTCTGGAGGAACTGTATTTGAAGCCAAAATGCATTTCATTGTCTTTCTGAAGTCTCTCTGTGGTTTACTCGCTAAATCCTGAGCTCAAGGACTGGGGACAAAACTTGTCTAAACATTTCCCAGAGTCTGTCTCTGTGAGATTCCCATCTGCTGTGTTTTATTTTGAATTTCATCTTCCTACTTTCCTGAAAACACAAAGCAGAAACACACGTTTCCTCTGCCCTGGAGTGCAGGAATCACCAAATTTCCCAGCAGGTTTTCTCACAACATATGATAGATCCAAGTTTGTCTAAAAACGCTACAAGCCGTTTGTGGAGTAGAAAGGGAGGAGAC